GGCAGAAGCATGGTTGGCGACCTTTCGTGAAGATCGACTACGCTATCCACTGCTCATCGTCCACGGGCCCTCCCAGACAGGGAAAACAGAGTGGGTGAAGTCCTTGTTCAAGCGCGCGCTGGAGCTCAAAGTGGGGAGTCTCGACATCTTCCCAGAGGGGATGCGCGCCTTTGACAGGGACACCCATGATGGCATCATCCTGGACGATGTGAGGGACCTGAAGTTCATTGCGGAGCACCAGGACAAACTTCAGGGCAAGTACGACACGCGTGTCGAATTTGCCACGACTCCTGGCGGCACGTGCGCGTACCGGAAGTACCTCTTTGCGGTGCCTGTGGCAGTCACCATCAACAACAGCACACGGAACCTGGACTTCCTGCGCGCGCATGACTGGCTCGGCTCCGAGCGCAACCGCGTCCTCGTCCACTTCCCTGACATCTTGGCAAGCCTGAGACATGTTTCACAGCCACTGCATCCCAGGAGCCAGCCAGCACGGTGGCGCAAAAAGAGGCGGCTCGAGTGCCAGAGTCGCAGGCGACATCATGCGACACGCGTAGGCGCATGCTCCTGCGTCTGCGCTCGCGGCATGGGTGCTAGCGTCTCCATGGCCGTGTGCATTGTGGGTCCTATCGCGCCATCCCTGGCCGTGTGCATTTTCGGTCCGAGGCCGTGTGCGTTTTGGGTCCAATCGTGCGCCGCAGCCTGGGCCGTGTGCGTTTTGGGTCCGAACGCGTCAGCCGCTCCGGTCACCGTGTGCAGGTTGGGTCCTTGTCGCGCCAGCCCGGGCCGTGTGCGTTTGGGTCCTGTGTGCGTTTTGGGTCCGAAGCTGTGTGCGTTTTGGGTCAAACGTGCGCGCAGCCTGGGTGGGTCGTGTGCATTTTGGGTCCTCACGCGTGAGCCGCTCAGGTCGCCGTGTGCATCTCGGGTCCTCTCGCGCTGTGCATCTTGGGACATGTGCGCGAGGCAGTTGGGTGGGCATGGCGGTGCGTCCTGTGGTTCCTCACGCCTTGACCATGCAGGACCATGCATTGCTAGCGTCGGAAGGTACTGACAGGACCAGCCCACATGCGTGCCCTCGCAGCTGTCTCGGCACCATGCCCCTTGTGCAGGAGGTCAGGCACCCACGGTCGCTCAACTTCGCGACTGAGCGCCAGGTTGTGGTGCTGCGGGAGGTGCATGGCTGCGCGTGGGAGGACATCCGTTCCCGGGTGCGGAACTTGCGCGGGGAGCGGCCCAGTCTGTCGCTCCTGAAGCGAGTCTACAAGGGCTTCAGCCAGGCAAAGGGGCGGCGACCGTACAAGTACCAGAACTGCGGTCGCCGACCCGTCAAAGCTACCAAGGCCGTGCAGAAGTTCCTGGTGCAGCGCTTGCTCGCCCTGCGCATGCACTGTGTCTGCACCTCTGGCACCTTGCAGCGAGAACTGCTCGCGAAGCGGGGTGTGCAGCTGGATGAGTCGGCCATCCGCAAGGCACTGCGTCGCCAGGGATACTTCTGGCTTCCGAAAGCGCAGAAGCGCAAGTACAGTGCAGAACGCCGGCAGGAGCGCCTCCGCTTTGCACGGAGCGTGGTGCAGCTCAGTCGGGCCCGCCTGCGAGAGAAGCTTTCCTTCTCCATGGATGGGGTCCTGCTGTCGCTACCGCCACGGGATCCCACGGACCGCCGCAATTATTGCGCCCACGGGGATGGCTACATGTGGCGGCAGCGCGGGGAGGCTGGAATGCGCCTTCCACAAAGCACGCAAGTTCACTGCAGAGGAGTGGTGCCGCGTGGTCCAGACCGGGAAGCTCCAGGCCGCCATAACAGCGCTGCAGCCAGTGCGGCGACACGGCCCCTGGAAGGTCTTGTGCGACAATGAGGCCTTCCTGCACACGGCCGCCAGCAGGCATGCCATGGCGGCCGAAAACATCACGCTCTGGCCGGTCCCGGCATCATCGCCGGACCTGAACCCTGTGGAGAAGTTCTGGGCGTGGCTGCGAAGGCGCCTCCGCCACCTGGATCGGGAAGACCTCCGCCGCAAGCGCCCGCCCATCGGCATGCTGGCCTTCAAGGCGCGCGTCCGCGCGGTTTTGGCTTCACAGCGTGCCCAAAGGGTGGCCTCGCACATAGCCGCGGGCTTCAAAAAGACCTGCAAGGAGGTCGTGGCCAAGAAGGGCGGCATGGCCAGATCCTAGCAGGCGTTTCACCCGCACTGTGCATGCCACGGACTCTCGCCGCCAAAACGCATGCTGCGCCGGGCCGATAGTTCGACCCACCGACATCTTGGGGTTCTGACGCCCTTACCCCGCCCTCTTCCCCATAGACTCCTGACACAATGGGGCTGGGGGCCTCCTCCGGAGCTTCTATAGTACTATATTTTTAAAACGGGGTATTAATTTCTCCGCTAGCAGGCGCAGGGAAAATGCGACTTTTCGGCACTCCGCTACTCCGCGGGAGCCTTCACTGTTTGCGTGCCATCCAACATGTGCCGTGGGTCGAAACTTTCGGCCCGGGGGTGCCTTCCGGAAGCATTTTTCGAAGCCGACGGCCTCCTCTAGCCACTTGCGCCATGCCTGCCAACCTGAAGCAACGCGCTAAGCGTGCGCTGGTGACCTTGTTGCTGGCTCTGGCCGGTGCCTACGGGCTGCAGGTGACCCTCACGCGGGAGTCGACAGATGTCGAGGTGACGCGGGTCTTCCGGCGAGTGTCCATCAAGGTGCATCCCGACAAGGGCGGGGCAGCCGCAGACGCGCAGCGCCTGAATGCTGCAAGGGATGCGTGGGTCCAGGCGAGCCAGGGCACAAAGCCGCCAGGCCGACCTGCCCATGCGCAGGCAGGGCCAGTGTCCGCAAGCAGTGCCGTCACTAACGGGCGCGAAGGCTTGCGCATTCGCTCCGAGGCGGTGCTCCTGACATATCAAAGCTGGCCGGCCGGGGAGGCGCCTGGTGCATGGCAGCGGTTCTGCGTCTTTGTGGCCGCCTCGGTGACGGCGTGGACTGTCAAGCACTGGGCGGCGACGATGGAGCAGACCTCTGGCGGCGACTGCCACCTGCACCTCATGGTCCAATTCACTTCTGCAGTGGACTGCGGCTCCGCCCGCTTCATCTTTGAGGGTGTGCGACCCAACGCCAGCCCCAACGACTACCTCGGCGAGGGCGTCTGCCGCAAGAAGCTGCAGCAGTCCATCAACCGCGGCATGTTCTACGTGTGGGCTGACAAGGTGGGGACGCTGCGCTTGCCTTCCGGCGAGACTTGCGTCGCGGCCAACTACGAGCCATGCTGGACTGAGGCTCGGCGAACCTACCAGGTCCTCGGAAAATGGCCAGAAGCACTGTGGAAACAGCGGAAGCTGACATCGGCCAAGTACGAGCAGTACCTTTTCCTGACGCGGGACGGGGTTCTGGCACGGAAGCGCAACCTGGATGCAGTTCGCGAGCATGAGGCCGCCCTGGCTGACGCCGCCCTCATCGAGGCCACCACGAAGAGGCTTCGAGCGAACCCAGAGGTGTACCGGGCTTTCCCGGCAGTGCCCGCGGCAGAAGCATGGTTGGCGACCTTTCGTGAAGATCGACTACGCTATCCACTGCTCATCGTCCACGGGCCCTCCCAGACAGGGAAAACAGAGTGGGTGAAGTCCTTGTTCAAGCGCGCGCTGGAGCTCAAAGTGGGGAGTCTCGACATCTTCCCAGAGGGGATGCGTGCCTTTGACAGGGACACCCATGATGGCATCATCCTGGACGATGTGAGGGACCTGAAGTTCATTGCGGAGCACCAGGACAAACTTCAGGGCAAGTACGACACGCGTGTCGAATTTGCCACGACTCCTGGCGGCACGTGCGCGTACCGGAAGTACCTCTTTGCGGTGCCTGTGGCAGTCACCATCAACAACAGCACACGGAACCTGGACTTCCTGCGCGCGCATGACTGGCTCGGCTCCGAGCGCAACCGCGTCCTCGTCCACTTCCCTGACATCTTGGCACAGGTCTGAGGGTCCAGCCTGAGACATGTTTCACAGCCACTGCATCCCAGGAGCCAGCCAGCACGGTGGCGCAAAAAGAGGCGGCTCGAGTGCCAGAGTCGCAGGCGACATCATGCGACACGCGTAGGCGCATGCTCCTGCGTCTGCGCTCGCGGCATGGGTGCTAGCGTCTCCATGGCCGTGTGCATTGTGGGTCCTATCGCGCCATCCCTGGCCGTGTGCATTTTCGGTCCGAGGCCGTGTGCGTTTTGGGTCCAATCGTGCGCCGCAGCCTGGGCCGTGTGCGTTTTGGGTCCGAACGCGTCAGCCGCTCCGGTCACCGTGTGCAGGTTGGGTCCTTGTCGCGCCAGCCCGGGCCGTGTGCGTTTGGGTCCTGTGTGCGTTTTGGGTCCGAAGCTGTGTGCGTTTTGGGTCAAACGTGCGCGCAGCCTGGGTGGGCCGTGTGCATTTTGGGTCCTCACGCGTGAGCCGCTCAGGTCGCCGTGTGCATCTCGGGTCCTCTCGCGCTGTGCATCTTGGGACATGTGCGCGAGGCAGTTGGGTGGGCATGGCGGTGCGTCCTGTGGTTCCTCACGCCTTGACCATGCAGGACCATGCATTGCTAGCGTCGGAAGGTACTGACAGGACCAGCCCACATGCGTGCCCTCGCAGCTGTCTCGGCACCATGCCCCTTGTGCAGGAGGTCAGGCACCCACGGTCGCTCAACTTCGCGACTGAGCGCCAGGTTGTGGTGCTGCGGGAGGTGCATGGCTGCGCGTGGGAGGACATCCGTTCCCGGGTGCGGAACTTGCGCGGGGAGCGGCCCAGTCTGTCGCTCCTGAAGCGAGTCTACAAGGGCTTCAGCCAGGCAAAGGGGCGGCGACCGTACAAGTACCAGAACTGCGGTCGCCGACCCGTCAAAGCTACCAAGGCCGTGCAGAAGTTCCTGGTGCAGCGCTTGCTCGCCCTGCGCATGCACTGTGTCTGCACCTCTGGCACCTTGCAGCGAGAACTGCTCGCGAAGCGGGGTGTGCAGCTGGATGAGTCGGCCATCCGCAAGGCACTGCGTCGCCAGGGATACTTCTGGCTTCCGAAAGCGCAGAAGCGCAAGTACAGTGCAGAACGCCGGCAGGAGCGCCTCCGCTTTGCACGGAGCGTGGTGCAGCTCAGTCGGGCCCGCCTGCGAGAGAAGCTTTCCTTCTCCATGGATGGGGTCCTGCTGTCGCTACCGCCACGGGATCCCACGGACCGCCGCAATTATTGCGCCCACGGGGATGGCTACATGTGGCGGCAGCGCGGGGAGGCTGGAATGGAGCGGCTGGCTGGACAGAACCCGTACCCGTCACAGGTGCCACGTGCTCGAGCCGTGCCACTCTGGGGTGGGCTGTCAGAAGGGGGCTTCCGCACAGTCGCCTTCCACAAAGCACGCAAGTTCACTGCAGAGGAGTGGTGCCGCGTGGTCCAGACCGGGAAGCTCCAGGCCGCCATAACAGCGCTGCAGCCAGTGCAGCGACACGGCCCCTGGAAGGTCTTGTGCGACAATGAGGCCTTCCTGCACACGGCCGCCAGCAGGCATGCCATGGCGGCCAAAAACATCACGCTCTGGCCGGTCCCGGCATCATCGCCGGACCTGAACCCTGTGGAGAAGTTCTGGGCGTGGCTGCGAAGGCGCCTCCGCCACCTGGATCGGGAAGACCTCCGCCGCAAGCGCCCGCCCATCGGCATGCTGGCCTTCAAGGCGCGAGTCCGCGCGGTTTTGGCCTCACAGCGTGCCCAAAGGGTGGCCTCGCACATAGCCGCGGGCTTCAAAAAGACCTGCAAGGAGGTCGTGTCGAAGAAGGGCGGCATGGCCAGATCCTAGCAGGCGTTTCACCCGCACTGTGCATGCCACGGACTCTCGCCGCCAAAACGCATGCTGCGCCGGGCCGATAGTTCGACCCACCGACATCTTGGGGTTCTGACGCCCTTACCCCGCCCTCTTCCCCATAGACTCCTGACACAATGGGGCTGGGGGCCTCCTCCGGAGCTTCTATAGTACTATATTTTTAAAACGGGGTATTAATTTCTCCGCTAGCAGGCGCAGGGAAAATGCGACTTTTCGGCACTCCGCTACTCCGCGGGAGCCTTCACTGTTTGCGTGCCATCCAACATGTGCCGTGGGTCGAAACTTTCGGCCCGGGGGTGCCTTCCGGAAGCATTTTTCGAAGCCGACGGCCTCCTCTAGCCACTTGCGCCATGCCTGCCAACCTGAAGCAACGCGCTAAGCGTGCGCTGGTGACCTTGTTGCTGGCTCTGGCCGGTGCCTACGGGCTGCAGGTGACCCTCACGCGGGAGTCGACAGATGTCGAGGTGACGCGGGTCTTCCGGCGAGTGTCCATCAAGGTGCATCCCGACAAGGGCGGCGCAGCCGCAGACGCGCAGCGCCTGAATGCTGCAAGGGATGCGTGGGTCCAGGCGAGCCAGGGCACAAAGCCGCCAGGCCGACCTGCCCATGCGCAGGCAGGGCCAGTGTCCGCAAGCAGTGCCGTCACTAACGGGCGCGAAGGCTTGCGCATTCGCTCCGAGGCGGTGCTCCTGACATATCAAAGCTGGCCGGCCGGGGAGGCGCCTGGTGCATGGCAGCGGTTCTGCGTCTTTGTGGCCGCCTCGGTGACGGCGTGGACTGTCAAGCACTGGGCGGCGACGATGGAGCAGACCTCTGGCGGCGACTGCCACCTGCACCTCATGGTCCAATTCACTTCTGCAGTGGACTGCGGCTCCGCCCGCTTCATCTTTGAGGGTGTGCGACCCAACGCCAGCCCCAACGACTACCTCGGCGAGGGCGTCTGCCGCAAGAAGCTGCAGCAGTCCATCAACCGCGGCATGTTCTACGTGTGGGCTGACAAGGTGGGGACGCTGCGCTTGCCTTCCGGCGAGACTTGCGTCGCGGCCAACTACGAGCCATGCTGGACTGAGGCTCGGCGAACCTACCAGGTCCTCGGAAAATGGCCAGAAGCACTGTGGAAACAGCGGAAGCTGACATCGGCCAAGTACGAGCAGTACCTTTTCCTGACGCGGGACGGGGTTCTGGCACGGAAGCGCAACCTGGATGCAGTTCGCGAGCATGAGGCCGCCCTGGCTGACGCCGCCCTCATCGAGGCCACCACGAAGAGGCTTCGAGCGAACCCAGAGGTGTACCGGGCTTTCCCGGCAGTGCCCGCGGCAGAAGCATGGTTGGCGACCTTTCGTGAAGATCGACTACGCTATCCACTGCTCATCGTCCACGGGCCCTCCCAGACAGGGAAAACAGAGTGGGTGAAGTCCTTGTTCAAGCGCGCGCTGGAGCTCAAAGTGGGGAGTCTCGACATCTTCCCAGAGGGGATGCGCGCCTTTGACAGGGACACCCATGATGGCATCATCCTGGACGATGTGAGGGACCTGAAGTTCATTGCGGAGCACCAGGACAAACTTCAGGGCAAGTACGACACGCGTGTCGAATTTGCCACGACTCCTGGCGGCACGTGCGCGTACCGGAAGTACCTCTTTGCGGTGCCTGTGGCAGTCACCATCAACAACAGCACACGGAACCTGGACTTCCTGCGCGCGCATGACTGGCTCGGCTCCGAGCGCAACCGCGTCCTCGTCCACTTCCCTGACATCTTGGCACAGGTCTGAGGGTCCAGCCTGAGACATGTTTCACAGCCACTGCATCCCAGGAGCCAGCCAGCACGGTGGCGCAAAAAGAGGCGGCTCGAGTGCCAGAGTCGCAGGCGACATCATGCGACACGCGTAGGCGCATGCTCCTGCGTCTGCGCTCGCGGCATGGGTGCTAGCGTCTCCATGGCCGTGTGCATTGTGGGTCCTATCGCGCCATCCCTGGCCGTGTGCATTTTCGGTCCGAGGCCGTGTGCGTTTTGGGTCCAATCGTGCGCCGCAGCCTGGGCCGTGTGCGTTTTGGGTCCGAACGCGTCAGCCGCTCCGGTCACCGTGTGCAGGTTGGGTCCTTGTCGCGCCAGCCCGGGCCGTGTGCGTTTGGGTCCTGTGTGCGTTTTGGGTCCGAAGCTGTGTGCGTTTTGGGTCAAACGTGCGCGCAGCCTGGGTGGGCCGTGTGCATTTTGGGTCCTCACGCGTGAGCCGCTCAGGTCGCCGTGTGCATCTCGGGTCCTCTCGCGCTGTGCATCTTGGGACATGTGCGCGAGGCAGTTGGGTGGGCATGGCGGTGCGTCCTGTGGTTCCTCACGCCTTGACCATGCAGGACCATGCATTGCTAGCGTCGGAAGGTACTGACAGGACCAGCCCACATGCGTGCCCTCGCAGCTGTCTCGGCACCATGCCCCTTGTGCAGGAGGTCAGGCACCCACGGTCGCTCAACTTCGCGACTGAGCGCCAGGTTGTGGTGCTGCGGGAGGTGCATGGCTGCGCGTGGGAGGACATCCGTTCCCGGGTGCGGAACTTGCGCGGGGAGCGGCCCAGTCTGTCGCTCCTGAAGCGAGTCTACAAGGGCTTCAGCCAGGCAAAGGGGCGGCGACCGTACAAGTACCAGAACTGCGGTCGCCGACCCGTCAAAGCTACCAAGGCCGTGCAGAAGTTCCTGGTGCAGCGCTTGCTCGCCCTGCGCATGCACTGTGTCTGCACCTCTGGCACCTTGCAGCGAGAACTGCTCGCGAAGCGGGGTGTGCAGCTGGATGAGTCGGCCATCCGCAAGGCACTGCGTCGCCAGGGATACTTCTGGCTTCCGAAAGCGCAGAAGCGCAAGTACAGTGCAGAACGCCGGCAGGAGCGCCTCCGCTTTGCACGGAGCGTGGTGCAGCTCAGTCGGGCCCGCCTGCGAGAGAAGCTTTCCTTCTCCATGGATGGGGTCCTGCTGTCGCTACCGCCACGGGATCCCACGGACCGCCGCAATTATTGCGCCCACGGGGATGGCTACATGTGGCGGCAGCGCGGGGAGGCTGGAATGGAGCGGCTGGCTGGACAGAACCCGTACCCGTCACAGGTGCCACGTGCTCGAGCCGTGCCACTCTGGGGTGGGCTGTCAGAAGGGGGCTTCCGCACAGTCGCCTTCCACAAAGCACGCAAGTTCACTGCAGAGGAGTGGTGCCGCGTGGTCCAGACCGGGAAGCTCCAGGCCGCCATAACAGCGCTGCAGCCAGTGCAGCGACACGGCCCCTGGAAGGTCTTGTGCGACAATGAGGCCTTCCTGCACACGGCCGCCAGCAGGCATGCCATGGCGGCCAAAAACATCACGCTCTGGCCGGTCCCGGCATCATCGCCGGACCTGAACCCTGTGGAGAAGTTCTGGGCGTGGCTGCGAAGGCGCCTCCGCCACCTGGATCGGGAAGACCTCCGCCGCAAGCGCCCGCCCATCGGCATGCTGGCCTTCAAGGCGCGAGTCCGCGCGGTTTTGGCCTCACAGCGTGCCCAAAGGGTGGCCTCGCACATAGCCGCGGGCTTCAAAAAGACCTGCAAGGAGGTCGTGTCGAAGAAGGGCGGCATGGCCAGATCCTAGCAGGCGTTTCACCCGCACTGTGCATGCCACGGACTCTCGCCGCCAAAACGCATGCTGCGCCGGGCCGATAGTTCGACCCACCGACATCTTGGGGTTCTGACGCCCTTACCCCGCCCTCTTCCCCATAGACTCCTGACACAATGGGGCTGGGGGCCTCCTCCGGAGCTTCTATAGTACTATATTTTTAAAACGGGGTATTAATTTCTCCGCTAGCAGGCGCAGGGAAAATGCGACTTTTCGGCACTCCGCTACTCCGCGGGAGCCTTCACTGTTTGCGTGCCATCCAACATGTGCCGTGGGTCGAAACTTTCGGCCCGGGGGTGTATACATACATACATGTCACATATACACATGCGTATATGTATATATGTATATGTATATGTCTATGCATATGTATATGAATATATATATATATATATATAGATGTATATATATATATATATGTGTGTGCACATACATGTTTCAGTATACATATGTATCTATATACATGTATAGATATATACATACATATATATGTATATATATATATATATATATATATATATATATATGTAGAGGTTCAGAAAAAAAAGTCTCGGTGCTTGTCTGTCCGTCTGCCTAAGTCTGGGGGCTGACACAATGATGGCCGTTGGCACAAGGGCAAGGCGTCAGCCCTGAAGAACCTTGATCGTTGAAACCCCCCACCTCCATTCCATTCCCCCCCCCAATGGGGGGGGGGGTAGTCCCCCGGGGGGGGGGGGTATGCGGAAATAGGTCGCTGCCTATTCTGTCCTGTGCCTCATGTTAGGGGGGGGTTGGGGAGTCTCTTCGGCAGGCATAATGTTGCCAAAACGGAGTGCCCTTTCTTTTTCAAATTCACCCAGAGCCTCGGGCCCGGCTCGCTGGGGCTGCAGTTTTGGCACATGACATCAACACATCTTAAACATGAATCAAAGAGGTCATGGAAGAGGTCATGGCGAGAGAGATAGAGAGAGGTACACCTGATACATGTTGCTCGCGGCCTATTTTCTGACCCCCCCCCACTGTCTCCAGAATAGGCCGCCGGAACTACCCAAAATAGGCGGGGACCTAAGTACCCCCCCCCCAGATACCTATTGATAGGGGGGGGGAATTCCATTCCCGAATTCCGTATTCAGAACTAGTAAGTCGACATGGTGACATAGACGATGAAGACTCTAGAGCTGAGACCCAAAACCAGAGCTGATGATGTAGATCCTGCTTAGGGTTCCGGGGGCTGGGTGATCAGTGCGTTTTGGTGCTTTGGCTTTGGCTTTCGGACCCTCAGGGCCAGACGAGTGTCTAGGACTGAACGGTTTAACGCAAGGTTTGGGTTCAGGTAGGGTTTAGGGTTTAGGGTTTAGGGTTTAGGGTTTAGGGTTTAGGGTTTAGGGTTTAGGGTTTAGGGTTTAGGGTTTAGGGTCTAGGGTCTAAGGTCTAGGGTCTAGGGTCTAGGGTTTAGGGTTTAGGGTCCAAACCCTAGCCCCCCAGGCCCGACAGGCCCGCCGGTAGGCTACTCCCGGGCCTACGGGTAGGCCTACGGTACTAGTAGTACCGGCAGGCCCGGGCGTCTACAGTTTCCTTAGGAGTTATGATCTAGTGATATTCTTGCTACACTTAAACCCCAAGCGAATTCAAATGTTTGCATTACGTTTCGAAGGGGCGTGTAGCCATGATCAAACCCGTAAGGACCCCTGCCAAGAAATGAAAGGTTAGGGATCAGGGTGTGGGGTTTAGCGAGAGTTTAGGGCTAGACCCTAAACCCTAAACCCCAAACCCTAAACCCTAAACCCTAAAGCCTGAACCCTAAGCCCTAGACCCTCTTCTGGTCTGTGGGAAATTAATTACCTTACAGCCCCCCCCTCCCCCCCACAAAGGCTTTGGGGTTTAGGGTTTAGGGTTAACCCCAGAGGTCAAGGGAGGTCGACAGCAATTCTGAGACGAGTTCGGTTCTTCACCAAAGCACGGCCACCGGAGTGCTCGTCAACCACCCGTGCACAAGTGCAGGACCTTGACCTTGGCCAAATAGTGCAGCCTAGACTCCCATTTTTGTTTAAACCCTAAACCCTAAACCGTAAGCCCTAAGCCCTAAACCCTAAGCCCTAAGCGCTAAACCCTAAGCCCTAAGCCCTAAGCCCTAAACCCTAAACCCAAAACCCATATCTCTCGCTAGCATTCTTGAAGTCTGCTTGCGGACATACCGCCAACTCTGCTCTACGTAACTCAAAACCAAAACGCACTGCAGATGGGCCCTCAGGGTTTAGGGTTTGGTTTAGGGTTTAGGGTTTAGGGTTTAGGGTTGAGGGGCAAATAAAATCGCCTCAGACTCTAGTCTAGGTAGTAGTAGGTAAGACAGGCAAGGGTCTGGCTTCTGACAAGGAAAGTGGTTGGGTAAACTGCCAACATTGAAGGCAGAACCAAGCGCCGTAAATGCCGGGCATTATATCTTCTTGTTCGGCACCCTCGCCACCAGAACCCGTGAAATCATCTCGAGGGCCATTTGCTGCAAATCACCTTCATCACAGCTGCCGCCAGCAGAAAAGCTGGTCAAGGCCGGCAACAGGCTGGAGGCTGGAGTCTGCGAAAGCAGATGCAGGTTCACCACCTTTCTCACAGGCGCCGATGCTGGCATTGAAGGTGATCTGGGTTGGCGCAACACTGGCCATCGGCATCTGCGACAGCAGATGCTGGGCCATCTGCCACTCACAACTCTTCTCGCAAGCGCTGATGCCTGCATTGAAGCTGAACTCGTCTGGCAAAAGTTTGCTGGCCGGCATCTGTGAAAGCAACTGCAATGCCATCTGCCACTCACCCCCTTTCTCACAGGCACTAATGCTGGCATTGAAGCTGATGTCGTTTGGCACTACTCTGGCTGTTGGCATCTGCGACAGCAAGTGCAAGGCCATCCGCCACTCACCCCCTTTCTCACAGGCACTGATGCTGGCGTTGAAGCTGATAACGTTTGGCACAACTTTGGCTGCTGGCATCTGCGAAAGTAAGTGCAAGGCCATGTACCACTGGCCACCTTTCTCACAGGCGCTGATGGTGGCAGAATACGTGATGACGTCCGGGACGAGCTTGGCGGATGGCATCTGCAGAAGCAACTGCAATGCGAGCTGCCACTCACCCCCTTTCTCACAGGCACTGATGCCGGCAGAGAAACTGAAGATGTCTGGCACAAGCTGGGTGGCCGGCATCTGCGCAAGCAACTGCAGCGCCATCCGCCACTCGCCACCTTTCTCACAAGCGGTGATGCCTGCTGAAAAGCTGATCACGTTTGGCACAAGTTTGGCGGCTGGCATTTGCGAGAGCAAACGCAAAGCCTTCTGCCACTCCAAAGCTTTCCCACAGGCGCTGATGCCGGCGTTGAAGCTGATCGTGTCTGGACCCAGCTTGACCAATATGATCTGAGAGAGAAGTTGAAGTGCAAGCTGCCACTGCAAGCCCTTCTCGCATGCTGTGATTGCGGCATTGAAGCTGCAAACGTCGGGCGCAAGCTCGGCCACAAAGATATCTGCAAGGACTTGGACTGCGACCTGCCACTGTCTGGCCCTTCCGCTGCTCGTGATGGTCATGCACGACAGCTTCTGGTCTCTTTCTGATGGCAACATGTTCTGGAGCAAATGAACCGCATGCTGCCAGTCTTGCTTGCAGCAGGCTCCTCGGATCAAGGATGAAAGTGCAGCGCGACTCGTCGCTGCAACCTGGTCTACGGTTGCAGCTGGCGGCCTCATTCTGCCTCATTGCTTGATGGACTTCGCTCCCAGATGATCCAAAGCGATCCCAGACGCCCCAAGAACACCCTAACCCCTTAAACCCTGAACCCTAAACCCAAAACCCTCAACCCCCCCAAACCTTGGAGCCCTTCCACAACCTGTGCAGCTCGCATCCCTGCAATCCTCCTTAAGCCGAGGTCTACATGCGCAACAGACCTTCACCCGAAACCCTAAACCCTCAACCCTAAACCCTAGACCCTAAACCCTCAACTAGACCTTACTGGTTGGGGCTCTCTTGGGAACGAAAGGTTACCTGTTCGAAAACATGGTACCAAGCCCAATGCGAAGATCCCAACTGAGGAGTCCATTGGAAACTGAGGGTCCTTTTTTGGGGTATAGGGGTTTAGGGTTTAGACGGGTTTAGTGTTTAGGGCTTAGGGTTTTAAGGAACAGAAAGAACATCAGGTGGGAATTGAACACCAAGCTTAAGATACTTGCCACGACCATCCCTTGTTCGTACATGCTCACATTGTGACATATCCTAAATAAACCAGCTTACAAATACATGGCGGGCTTTGCATCGTGCGCATTTCGCCCGCCCAAAACTGCACAATCAGTTAGAGAACTGCCCAATCGTGCCCGATAAAGTCCGAGGCTTGGGGATTCGAGGGACTTGATGATTAGCAAGGGTATAGGGTCCATATACTTTTACAGAGATTTCGGTTTAGGCTTTAGAATGGCTTTAGAGGGTCCATATACTTTCACAGCGATTTGGGGTTTCAAGCATTGACCGTGGCAAGACGACCCTGCGCGGGGCAACTGTTCTATCTTCCGCTGTTCTCCATAGCGCTCTCTCCCTCTCTCTCGTTCTTGCTCTTTTGTTTTTTCTCTGCCTCTCTCTCTCTCTCTCTTTCTCATTTTCTCTTTTTCTCTCTCGTTTATTCTCGCCCTCTCTCTCTGTCTCGTTCTCGCTGACATCTATGGGATAAGCAAAAAAACTGTCAGCGTCAATCCTGTCAATCCACCCTTGATGCCGTGTTCAAGGACTTGCAAGGATGAGGAACCTGATATGGCTGAAACACATGCGCCCACATGCAAAACCCCTGGATGCTGTGCGGTCTCCACTCGCATGTGCATCATCGGAGTGGCAATGTCTTAAAAAGTAGGAACGTTTCACAGCCTGTGCCGCATTTGATGCCGAAGTTGCTTGTGAACTTCTCATCTGGTGGCGCAAGCAGCTTGAATCACTTTACCGAAGACTCTATGAAACAAGCATGTCACTTTGTTTGCAAGATGCCGTGGATTCTGAAATCGCCACGAAAAGGTCGCCAAAAGTCCACTGTTGTGACTTCCAGCTTGAAGCACTTCACCAGACTCTTGGTTTTCTTGCACGGTAGGATGGTCTGGGGAGTGATGTTTATGCTATCGGCGCTGTAGGCAAGGTTCCAGGTCGTGTCATCTTTGCACCAAATCCTGAGATTTGCGCACTTGCAGTCCTCAGAGAAGGAGAAGCCCAGGGGGTACACATGGCTATAGGGGAGCTTCCACTTCACCCAACCGTCTCGAAATGCTCCAGACAATTCTCCCCAGGCGAACTTGAGCATGGCATCTGCACCCGAAGAAACAATCTGTGCCTGTCCAGGGCCGAGGACCGGGACCACCCAGTAGCCCAGGAAGGCACCCTTCTGCCCGGACTTCTCGTAGCGCGCCCAGAGGCTCCGCAACACATTGCTGCTGTGCTCGCCTGAAATCCTCGCAGGCAGTGGCGTGATGGAGAAGCGATCTTCGATGATGTGCTGCAACGCGTCCTCCCTCTTCCCCCAGCCTCGAAAGAGCTGAGTTTGGTCCGCATCCCCCATACACAGCAGGCCAGAATCCAAAATCTCTTCCAGCAGCTCTGGGCGGAGTTGCGGGCGTATCTTCAGGGCGCTTCCAGGATGGACCAAGATCTTCTCCAAGGCTTCCGTGCGCAAGTCGGGCATGCGGAAGCGGTCTGCGGAAGCGAAGACCTCGCACGCCATCTCAGGCGTGAGCTTCTGCCCGCTGATTTCCTGCATGCAAAGCGAGTGCAGGGTTTTGGTCTCATACTTGAGTGCCATGGCAGCAACCTCCACGAGCATGCCAGGGGAGGCCTCAACAGCCCCGGAGTACAAGAAGCGCAAGAAGATCTCCACGGCGTCGCGCGAGAAGTCTTTGATGACCACTTCCGCCTCACGGCCTTCCACAAAGGTGTCGGAACCTTACAGACTACATGTACCCCTGCAGTACAGGGTATGCGATCCCAGTTTGAGGGTTCATCTGGCCTGCCAAGGAACAGATCATCTTCGCGAAGACGGGAGATCGCTGGGTGAGCAACGAGGCCCACACCTTGAACTCGGTGCGCTTGGTGTCTGCCTGGAGCTCCTCCGTGCTACGGGTGGCATCGGCCGCATCGCTGAGCTCCTCAACGATGACGGTGAAGTTGCCATCCTTGCCGAAGCCTTGGGGACGAAGGGGGGGGAGGGGGGGGGTAGGGGGTTAGGGTTTCGCGTTTAGGGTTTAGGGTATATAGGGCTAGAACCCTACAAAAGTTTATGGTTCACATTACCTCAATAGGAGTTGTAGCAGTAAAGGGTATCTGACCCCAATTCTTTAGGGTACATTTGATCCCCAAGGAGCAGGCCCTCCAGGTCTTAGACAGGGACTCCAGGTCATCTTGTGCTGTCACCTTCATACGGCCTCCCCAGATTCCACGCAAAGGGCGAGGGGGGGCACGACTCGCATCTGGCTCTTGAGATCGCGCGGCGCGCACTTTGTGAATCCCCCGAAACGCACCTTAGAACCAGGTGTTGAGATAACTATGCAACTGCTTGCAAAAACAAATCCCTTCTGAAGCCTTCCACTGCCCTAAGCACTGATAGCCCTACAGCCCCATAGCCCTACAACCCCAGAAACAACCAGTCGCCCTGCAAACTCTCTTAAACTCTCTCTCCCTTCAACACACTAGAACCTCTCTAGCACACGGTATACCTGCATAAACGTATGGCCTAGCATGCACCCTATAAGCCCTAAACCATAAGACCTGAACCTTAAACTTGCAACCTATACACGCACTAAGCCTAAGCCTGGAGCCACGCACCTCAACCCATCAGCACTATAGTTATCCTCGAGCCCAAACCCAGAACCAAAACCTTCAACCCTGGGAACCCTGTCTAAAATCTAGGCCCTAAAACCCTGAAACCCTGAAACCCTAAAGCCCTAAAACCCTAAAACCCTAAAACCCTAAAACCCTAAAACCCTAAAACCCTAAAACCCTAAAACCCCAAAACCCCAAAACCCCAAAACCCTAAACCCTGGAACCCTGGAACCCTAAAACCCTAAAACCCTACAACCCCAAAACCCTAAAACCCTGGAACCCTAAACCCTAAAACCCTAAAACCCTAATAATACCCCCGAAACACCCAAACCCAAACTCCCCCCTAAAAGCCCCTAAACCCCCGAAATCACCCAAGAAAAAACCCTAAAACTCCCTAACTCCCCCCTAAATCACCCTAAAAACCCCTAAATCCCCCCAAAATCACCCAAAAAAAACCCTAAAACCCCCTAAAACCCCCCCTAAAAGCGAGCCAGGGCCGACGGCGCTCTCGCAAAGCGGCGTGGCTGTGACCTCGCTGTGAGAGGACTTCGGGGTGAATCCCTTCCCCCTGATATTAAATGCCCCCCTACCCCCCAATGCTAAATACACACCATTGTAGTCACATTATAGTATAAACATTGTATATATATATATATATATATATAGATATATATATATATATATATATATATATGGGAAGGGGGTGGTTTAATAATCAGCGGTGGGGATTAGGGTTAGGGTTAGGGTCAACCGCGTACATCCTGAAAACTTGGGAGAGGCAGCATATCCATCGGGTATGTTCAGCCTTTCTTGAGGGCTAAGACTAAGCTACTCTAGGTAGGGTTGAGCCTACGGTTTGCCCTACACGTGAAACTCTGAACCTTCATGCTTCAATCAGACGCTCCTGGCAGTGAGGCTGTGCCCAAAGCCCTAAGCCCTAAACTCCGAAAGCCCGAGCGTCTGTTGCTGGAGGGTTTATTCTTGGGGCGTGCAGAAACTCAAGGGTGTCGAGCTTGAGATTTGGAAGTCCAAATTGGAGAAGCTGGCCCCAAAGCCCCCCAAAGTCCCCCTAAACCCTAAACCCTAAACCCTAAAACCCTAAAACCCTAACCCTAAAACCCTAAACCCTAAAACCCTAAAAACCCCAAAACCCCAAAACCCTAAACCCTAAAACCCAAAAACCCTAAAACCCTAAAACCCGAAAACCCTAAAACCCTAAAACCCTAAAACCCTAAAACCCTAGACCTTATTCATGGCCATGGCAGTTGCCTCACCGTCGGCTGCCGCTTCACAGCGGCCTTAGCTGGAGGCGCATGGCACATAGTAACCCAATTATAGCTGTAGTTATAATCCAATTATAACCCTATTAGGGTACTTAAGGGGCTGAGAAGTGGGTTGTAGCTACCCTTATAATTGGGTTATTAGTACCCCGAACCTCCAAGCACCCCCTGCTGAAATCGAGTTTGCAGTTCACTGTCTATACTTGAAGGGCTCAGCAATTGTCATTGTCACGACTGTATGTCTGTATACATAGGCTACAGTTGTGACGGAGGGAAGTCTCCCAGAGCCTTGTATCAGGGTCGAAGGTTTCAGGGTGTTTGGGCTATTTAGAGTTTTTGACCCTGAACCCGAAACCCTAACCCTATGACCTAAACCGCAGCTTGCATTGAGCTCAGGATAGTCAGGCCCTTCTCTGCGTGCACCGGCAGCAAAGCGCGAAAGCTCCTAAGGACTGAACTCCTCTATCCAGAAGGGGACACAGACGAACTCAACTTCCAGCAGTCCTCTCCAACCCCCAAGCCTAGACTCCCAAATCCTAAACCCTACACCCGAAGCCCTAATTTCTAAACCCTAAACCCTAAACCCTAAACCCTAAACCCTAAACCCTAAGCCCTAAGCCCAGCCCTAAGCCCTAAGCCCTAAGCCCTAAGCCCTATAAACCCTGGACCCAGAGGTTTGACAACTTGGCAGCTGGCAGCACTGGAGGCGGTTGGGGGTGCGGCTGATAAGTGAAACAGAGGGTTTCGGGTTGAGGCTTTAGGGTTTGGGGTTTGGGGTTTAGGGTTTAGGGTTTGGGGTTTAGGGTTCAGGGTTTGGGGTTCAGGGTTCCGGGTTGGAGGGCTCTTGCTCCTGGGCTAGGGCTCAAGTGTGGGGTTTAGGGTTTAGGGCTTAAGGTTCAGGGTTGAGTAAGTCTAGGGCTGGAGAGTGCCTGGGATGCTCTGGACTGATGGCTCTGGGTTTTGGGTGAGGGTTCTCGGCCCGGGGGTAAGGCACCCGGACTGCATTGAGCCGAAGCAGACAAGGTTGTGGGTCTAGGGGTAACCCTAAAGCCTACACCCTAAACCCTAAACCCTAAACCCTAAACCCTAAACCCTAAACCCTAAACCCTAAACCCTAAACCACTAAACCCTAAACCCTAAACCCTAAACCCTAAACCCTGAACCCTACACAGGTTCAGGGTTCAAGGTTGCAGGGCAACAGCGGAGTTTCACCGGAAAAAGGCTCCGCATCCTGTACCCCAACTCTAAGTAGCCCTACACCTAATTGGTTAGGCTTTAGACCCCTAAATCTTAAAACCTGAACCCGTAAATGGGGTTTCAAAACTTAGGGGATACCTTTATCAGGTCCTTATTATAAAGGAATCCTACCATTTGGGAGTCCATATTAAGGGTCCCCATTTTCGTAGACCCTAAATCTTAAACCCTAAGCCCTACGGCCACCCGCTTGCAACATAGCGAACAGAGCTGCCAAAACCTGAACCTCAGCCTGAGCCTTCGGCTACACCCTAAACTCTCATTACACTCTGCACCCTAAACCCGAAACCTCAAACCCCAAACCCTAAACCCTAAACCCTAAACCCTGAACCCTACACCCTGCACCCTAAACCCTAAACCCTAAACCCTAAACTCAAGCCCCAAAGCATGCCCAGACAACCCTGACCGACGCTGCGGGATCTTTTTGCTGCCCATGAGGCCGGAGGGACCTCTCGGTGACACCGCTGTGCAGCTCGTCAGTAAGGGTTTGGGGCTTAGTTCGGAAACCTTAAACCCTAAACCCTAAACCCCCGAATTCCTAAACCTTAGACCCTAAACCCCCAAAACCCCAAACCTAATTGGCTCAGGGCTCCGGATTGAGGAAGGCGTTATCCTCTCGGAGCGTGTCAATGGTCCGGAGGAGGTTGCACCTGATGCAGGAGTCGAGGGTTTAGGGTTTAGGGTTTAGGGTTTCGGGTTTAGGGTTTAGGGTTTCGGGGCTGGCTTGTGGTGTGAGGGGTTTAAGGGGTTAAGGCATTTGAGTTGAAGAGTCAAACAACAAGTGGGCCACCAAACCAAACTAGGCCCTTAACACCCTCAGAAAAATTTTCCTGATTTTGATCCTCTTAAACCAAACAAACCTCTCCACCAATACCAAACACTCCCGCAAGCCTCACCATAAGGACTGGCATTGCAACCCAAGAACTCTTCCAGACCCGCCAAAAGAAAGACCACAATCACCAAAACAACTGACTTGCCCAACTAAGACATGTAGATTGGGGCACCAAAATCGAGGACAGGTTGGGGAACCAGAATGTGTTTGCACGTTGTGCGTAGGTTCGGCTAGGGTTGCGCTGGTCGTGCCAGTCACTTCGCTGCAGGATATGACGTAGGGTATATATTTCATTTCTTGTACCCCCAACAGGACACCGGGTACACACTCACCAATATTAAAAATAGGAACCTTATGTACACTCACCAATAACAGCAATATCAACCCTGTTTCATATGCCTGCTCATGTTTGGTTTGGTGCCTTTAAAGTACGCCCCCAAACCGGGGGCCGACCTGGCTTAGGTCAGGTTAGGTTAGGTTAGGTTGGGCAGGATCAGGAGTTGAACTTAGGTTAGATTACGTTCTTCTTGAAAAAGTAATGGGAGGAGGTGAGCTTAGGTGGTTAGGGTTTAGGGTTTAGGGTTTAGGGTTTAGGGTTTAGGGTTTAGGGTTTAGGGTTTAGGGTTTAGGGTTTAGGGTTTAGGGTTTAGGGTTTAGGGTTTAGGGTTTAGGGTTTAGGGTTTAGGGTTTAGGGTTTAGGGTTTAGGGTTTAGGGTTTAGGGTTTAGGGTTTAGGGTTTAGGGTTTAGGGTTTAGGGTTTAGGGTTTAGGGTTTAGGGTTTAGGGTTTAGGGTTAGGGTTTAGGGATTTTGTAATGGGGGGGTAGGGTAGGTAAGGTTAGCTTGGATTGGGTTCGGTGAGGTGAGGCCCCCAAAAGCTCAGCTCCCGGCAGAAATCGCGCGTAAGCGTAGGACAGGAAGCGGAGGAAGAACACCAGGAGGTTGAAGCAATTCTGCGGCTCTGACTCTAAGGCTTAGGGAATTTGGGCTTTGGGTTTGTGGTTCAGGGTTTAGGGTTCAGGGTTTTGGGTTTAGGGTTTAGGGTTTAGGGTTTAGGGTTTAGGGTTCAGGGTTTTTAGGGTTTTTAGGGTTTTTAGGGTTTTTAGGGTTTTTCGGGTTTTTAGGGTTTTTAGGGTTTCGGGTTCAGGGCTTTTAGGATGTTTTTTGCAGCGTCATGGACTGTGGCTCGCTAGATGTAAAGGTGCTCCTAGCAAGAGGAAGGTTAACGAACTTA